AAGGCTGAGAGGCCCAGTGCCCAGCCTGGTCCAGTTCCGTCGGTATCTTGCTTGTTGCTGCAGCGCACCTCTGCACGTCGTATGCATGCACAACGGCGCACAGTCTCATCACATGTGCCTAGCTGCTGCTCCGGGGCTGCACAGGATCAGGATGGGACGGCAAGGCAACCATTGGACTGGCAGACGTTCAAAGGGGCAGAAGGCAAAAGGCAGAAGGCAGAAGGTAAAAGGCAAAAGGCAAAAGGTAGAAGCTCAAGGTGGGTATGGGACACCCAAAAAGGATGGGTCCTCCCTCTGTGGCTTCCTCTTTGGTCCTGTGGATGTCGCACGACGAGTATGTGGTGATGCGTCGTGCCCCGGATTTGATTGCTTGATGCTACTTTTTTCTGTCGAGCCATGGTTGACGATGAGCGGTTGAGGGCTTGAGGGCTTTTGACAGGTGGCTGAGGTCATGACCGTCTCTCTTCGTCGTGGGGGGATTCTGATATTAATTCTTTTTCATTTTTTGTTGATTTTCTCTTCGTCTACCCTCATGGGAAGACCGTGGCATGCGTCTTTCATCGTCCTGGAGCTCGGCACCTTATCAAGGAGGACAGCAGTGTGGCCATGATACCATGGGACAATACTACCTCAGCTGCAGTGTCTCATGCTCCCGATGTCGTGCGTAGACGAGCGATCGAGAGAAGGATCGCAAAGGGGCGGCGGCGACAGAAAGAACAGGACGATGACGATGACGAGCGAAAAGAGTAGACGCAGGTCAAGGGTATTTAACCTGCGGCACAGCCGTCTCTGTTTTGTTGCGAACACAGCTTCTGTTTTTTTTTCTGCCTCTCGCCGTTGTCCCTGCCTTTCTGTCTTTGCCTTCCGCTGACGATAATCAAAAGAAACCAGAGCCTCAAACGACAAACGCCTTCATCCTGACCAGACAACCTCCCACAATGTGCAGGGTCCTGCTCGACCCTCTCCAGCCCATGGCCCGGCTCGTTTACCCCAGACAGAAAAGCAGAAAAAGGGTCTCGCCGGAACGAAACGAAGAGCGGGAGATGACCAGACGGCGGCAGGAACTGTGGCGAGAAATAGATTGCCGTCTCCCGTCACGCGTCGCCTCGTACTTTTGTTTACAGCGGCTTCACCATCGATCAGCAGAGTCCCACGGTCCTGGTCAGAGGGCATCGGGAAGAGGAGATTTAGGACAGAGAGAAAAGGGGCGCAAGGGCCTCCGCCGAACATCGGCGGTTGCATTTCGCATTTCGCATTTCGCATTTCGGGAGAAAAATAAATGAAGCCAACTGCACTCAAGCGAGAGATACAAACGATGGAAGACGGAAGACTGAAGACGCGAGTTGGAAAGACAAAGACAAAGGACAACGAGGCAGTGCGAAGCGACGCAACGGACCGGTCACGTCCTGCCCATCCCGTGTTGTCGTCCAACCGTCAGTCGTCCTGTCTTTATGCGTTCTCTGGAAATCGTATATTGCTGACTCCTGCACTTTATTTGGACCAAACCAAACGTTTCCTTTCCTTTCCCAGCGACGCCTTGACGCGTTGCCACCGCAACTCCCTGACGCCATGACGCCATGACGCCCTGGACGAGTTTCCTGGTTACAACTCGGCGTCCCTTGATGGCATATTGCCCGACACCACTCCCGCCATCATGCCCGTTCTCACGCCCGACATCACGCCCTTGCGTATTTAATCTATTCTGCATCAGCCTAGTGGAGAGGATTGCAGGAGGATTTCTAGGAGCCTTCGAGGCTGGGCCGTGTACACTCGTCCTGTGCGAGAGGTCAGGGACGGGCAGTGACGGAGATGGACAGGGCGCGAGAAAGGAAAGCAAAAAAAGAAGAAAAAAAAGAAAAAGAAAAAAGAATGGCAATATATTCTTAGGCCGTGTTGTGCCTCTCGCTTAGCCTGCATTCGCCCCATCTGCTGTCCCAGCACCTGGAGCCTTATGGATATCGTCGAAAGGGTTGACGAGAAGGGGATCTGGACATATGGTGGAACGGCCACGGAAGGATCCATTTCAGCGGGCCACATCGTTGGTGACGAAGTTGGTGATGCTTCCAGGCTACGCGTCCTGTCAACATTGCCCGGCAAGCGCTGGGCCGAAGACGAATCCAGAAACAAGCGCAGGACAATGACGCCAGCTTCACTCGTCATAGCGGACGAATGTTGGACATTCATGGACCAAGTGGCATCCGGACACGAGCAACTCGGCACAAGACCCGGACATTCTGAGAAGTGCGATGCATGCGGCAAGCATCACGATGGCAACCCACAGCCTTGCACCGGGGGAAGAGAAGTACAACATTTTGTACAAAGAGGGACTTTGTTTTCTTTTCCCTTATCGCCTAGATTGCGGTCGTTGGGGGTGCGTGCTCGACCAACGCACAATGATGTCATTTCGGCTGCGTGGGCTATTATATTGCTGATCCGGCGGCCGCGTCGGCAAAAGGACACGAGAAAGAAACCATCAGGAGGACGATACAAGACGATACAAGATGACTTTACAAAAGACCCTGTTGGATTGTGCAAAGCATCCACGAGATGCAAGGATCAAGGCTCGTGAGGCAATATCGTCGGCGAGTTGGCGACACTGTAAAGTCCTTGCACATCACGAGAGGCGCACCGACCCCCAATTAGGGAGCGGGATATTGGGCCAAGTGCCTCTCCGACCAGTGGCATGGAGTCGAGCAAGAATAGGAAAGGAGGAAAGAAAAGAAACGCATGCAATACGACAGTATTCTGATCACATACGGACGGAGGAGAGCGACAAGAACGACATCATCTGCAAAACAGACCTGCTGTGACCAACAGACTTGCACCACACACAAGTGCACAGCAGATGAGACAGCCAACAGGGGCCATGGGACGTTGGCAGCTGGCAGCAACAGGCGAATAAGGTGCCATGGATAGAGAGAAGAGAAACCGCGAGGCGGTGGTCAATCTAAACAAGATAAGGGAGAGAGAGCGAGGCAGAGAGAGAGAGAGAATGACGACGTACGGCGAACAGGACCAACGTGACCAACGTGACCAACATTACAGCGTCACATGCCTCTTCCTCGTCCTTCTCCTCGTCTTCTCCGGCTATATTAAACCCCACACTCCTGGCTGAGCGGTTTCTGTCCGCTTCCTTTTCTGTTTCTGCCAGACGACCGTCCTGTCGTCATTTTAATCTATTTCTCCCGCCACGCGGATGGTGTGCATACGTGGACAGCGCTCTATGACCCTAGGCTGTGCTGCTGGTCTCGGCCAATTTCTGTCAACGTTGAAGGCTATATTCTTGTTTTGTGGAGGGGCGTGGGCATAGGACCAACAGCGAAACCTGGTAGAGGAGGGAACTTCATTTATGCTGAAAGAATATACGATGTAGAAATGAACCAAGGCGGTGTCGGGAAATACCAGAATGGCTGTTTGTGCTGTACTGTGTTGCTCTGTGTCTTTTTTTAAAAAAAAAAAATGTCTTTATTCTTTATTTTATTTGTTTATTATATTCAACTCACACCATCCAACATCCAACTTTGCACCCACACCTCTACGTCTCGGATAACCAGCCGAGCTGGCTGGCATTGAACAGTCGACGGCTCTGCTGGTAAATCCCGTGACCCCCATGCTGCACTCTGCACTCTGCCTTCTACCTCGTCAGACTGCTGCCGTCCCGTGCCGAATGGACAATGACCATCCCGTGAGGTGCTTCTATTTTGCACCGTAATTTATTGGGACGACTTGTTTCGCATGTTCCCCACAAACTGTCCAAACACATCATCCTTGCCGTATTTACATAATCGTATTGATATTGCTACCCGTGAAGGGTGACTGTGGTCTCGGCCAGTCGTTACTCGGCAGGATCACCGATAAAAATAAAACACGGCCTTGTAACAGAACGGGATACGTAAGGGTCTCTTATCGCGCACACCCCCAGAGCAGTGCCGCAGACCGACGGTGGCTTCCAAAATTAGAATCAGTCGAAGAGGTGAACATGATGTAGAATCTCAAACCCATTTTTCTATCACGACGACACGACAGGAAAGCATCCACTTAAACAAACCTTCATGGCGAGGGCCGGGTTGAGACGTGACCTGTAAAGGCAGGCAAGTTATGATGAGAGGTGTGGCTTTGTTAAAAATAGAAACCTGTTTATAAAAAAAATGAGGTAAATAAACATGTGCTGAAAAAATACAAGAATTGTCAATTTTAATTAACGTTTGCATACCGGGATATCTACCGCTTAATACGATATTAGCACAGCCCTCCAAGAACCAGATAGCAGTTCCATTTTTAAGAAGAAATTTGTCCATGTAAGAAGACAAGGGAAGGGTTTCGCGCGTACGTACTGTGTAAAATATTGTACAAAAATCCACTGCTTCACATCAACTAACCAGGCGCTGAATCACATGGTAAATCGAGCGTCAAGAGACACCGCAGGCAAGTATCACGACTGACGGGACATTGTGAGGCACTGAGTTGTCAGTATAACCTGAGCCTATTCCTGTCATACCACCTGATAGTGTCACCTACAAAAACTCTACCCATAAATCGCAGACTTGCTTCAGCTCACGGCGGATGCAACCGGTGGGAGGGCCCAGCGGATCGGCCCTTGAATAAATCCTGCTCCACCGGAGCGCGATGGCTGAACTCCGGATTGGACGTAAGCAAGTCTGATTCAGATCCGTCGAAATGGTGAGACGATGGTGGAAGGGAAGTGAACAATCTTAGTTCATTCCTCTACCCTGAAACAAACAAAAACGCGGTGTAGTATCCAAGAAGCGTACTACGAGCCAGAGAACACAGTCGACGAACGCGGACGCAATTGCTCTCCATACCGCTGCCGCCCCGTGGAGAAAGCAAGGCAAACAATCCAAGAAGAAATGCCAGATAATATTATGCCAAGGTTGGTATCATTCTTTAGGCCCCAGGGGAAAGTTCAACCTCGCCCCTATTAATACACCCCCCGCGCCCCGCCGCAAGTCTCACAACTTTCCCTTGTCGTCACCGGACAGTCATGCCGTTGCCGTGGCGGCCGGGGCAGCGGCGGGCTCCTCCGTCTTCGTGGGGGCGGCCGTGGGCTTGCCGCCCAGGGCATCGACAATCGGCTTCTCCAGCGCCTCGGGCTTGGTCGTGCTGGCCCAGCGCTCAATGACGGCGCCGTCGCGGCCGACCAGGAACTTTTCAAAGTTCCACTTGATGCGCTTGAGGCCCAGCAGGCCCGACTTGGAGTCCTTGAGCCAGCTGTACAGCGGCGCCGCGTCGTCGCCGTTGACGTCAATCTTGGACAGGATGGGGAACGAGACGCCGTAGTTGATCTGGCAGAAGCTCTGGATGTCGTCGTTGGAGCCCGGCTCTTGCCCGCCGAACTGGTTGCACGGAAACCCGAGGAACTCAACCTCGTCGCCGTAGCTGGCGCGCAGGCTCTTGTAGAGCTTCTCGAGGCCGGCGTACTGCGGCGTGAAGCCACACTTGGATGCCGTGTTGACAACCAGGACGACCTTGCCCTCGAATTTGTGCAGGTCAAGCTCCTTGCCGGTCTCTGGGTATGTTGAGTCAGCATCGCGCGAAAGAGAGGACCAACGCGAAGCGAGGTCTACAACAAAATAACAAAACAAATGTACTTACTGTCGAGAGGCTTGAAATCGTAAAACGACTTGCCGGCCATTGTGGTGTTTCTATGGTTGTTCAGAGGCGATAAAAATGTTGCCGGGAGATATGGAGATGTAGAGTTGGTAGGTAGCAGACGGTTGTGCAAGTGAGTAGGTTTGGTTTGTCGCAAGACAAGTCGAAACAAACGGTTGCGACATGATGGCGGGCAGCGACTTTCTTTTACACTTTTCCCTTTTTCCTTTTTCGCCGCCTGCCCCTGTGGCCCGCTTCCGATATTTAGTAATCTTGGCGACGGACCCTGTGGAATTGCGACGCCGGCAGCTCTTTCCCTTTTTCTCCTCTTCGTCGTCTTCTCTCCTTCCTTCCGTGTCTTGTCTTTCCCCACTGCCTATTTTGCGCATCCAAGTAGAGAACAATTACGTGCCAGGACGAGGCAATCGCGGACCCAGCAGCTAGTCCACCTTCCTCGCATCCTACTATTCCCAGCTAGCCCGGTTGGGCGGCGCACATGCCACCAATTTGACGACGGAAGAAGGGAGGCAAATCGCTCCTCGGAGGGCGCCTTGTCCTTTTCCAAATCGCTGAAGAATAATACCAAACGACAAGCAATTGTGGGCTTCCTGTGTCCTGTTTGGCCGGGAGACCGTCCTGCTATCGTTTTGTCTCGGTCGCTCCTTCCAGATGTTGCGAGCCACAACGTGTTTCATCGCCTCTCTGCCGAGTTTGGGAAGTGGCGATGGAGCTTGTGTGTGCGGAGAGATCCTGGCCTTGAAGCGTTGTGCATTTCCGTACCTAAGCGCTGGAAGCGGCGTTGTTCTATGACATGTTCAGCAGGAGCGACTCAACAAAATGTTGCGACTCAGTCGACGACGACGCTATTAACACACAATGCGGCGACACAAACTCGCACGACCGACAAGAACACTGAGAAGCACGGAGTTGCCCCTCACCTGAAGCTGTCGGGACGTGACAGGTCCGACCGTCAGTGACGTGATCCAGGGTAGTTTCTCATGTATGGAACAGCAATTGGCCCGATCCTGTCAAGCATCGAAAGAGCTCCAGTGGTTCCACATTTTGGTATTTGGAATCGGGTTGCGTGGCTGGACGAGCCGCGGCTGTCTGACTTGCTCGCTTAACGGATCGCTGAATTGCTCCGTCGGCCGTGTACTGTGGCCGGCGATGTCGCTATGGAATCAAGCCGAGGAATGTAATTGTTTTTTTATTTTATATTTTATTTTATTTTTTATTTTATTTTTGGATCAGTTCTATGATTTGTCGTATGCCCTGTCAAGTTCAAACGGCCAACTCAGGCACCTGTGTGCAACATCGCTTGATACAGGCCGACCTGAAGGGCATACCCTAGAGGTGATCATCTTGTCGGGAGCGTCTAGCTCACTTCAGCCCTGCAAGCCATGTGAAATCAATGTTGTGCTGTGCAGTGTCACGGGTTAGTCATCAGACTTCTGCCACATCAAAGCCTTCCGTTCGACACGGTTTGCGCCTTCCTGTTCCGCGATCGATAGGTGCCTTCCATCCCTGGTGCCTTCCATCCCTCGCGCCTTCCCGTGTCATACTTCGTAAGCTCAGACGAGGCTCTAGGTGCACATCCCCGCCCGTTTGCCCGCCTCCGGCACTTGCGCGCCTCAAACCCACTCCCCACACTTTGCTGACGTCTTCCCTCCCATTTCGTCATCGACCCGACTACGTCAATTACACGACGACGCTCTCTGTACAACGTGCTGAGACCAGCAAACAGCAGACGACCCAAGACGTCCAGAACCGACTAACAATCTGAACTACTAGTAGGACTCGACTGCAGGACGTCCTTGGTCCAGACGACTCGCCTGTCAATAGGACGACATGGCCGTCCCAACAGCAGTCGACACCCCTGCAGACGGCACGCCACAACTGCCACAGCCGCCACAGCCGCCACAAGATCGGCGACGACACATTGTCATTGTGGGCGGCGGCGTCATTGGTTCCACGACAGCCTACTTTCTGACGCGACACCCTCGCTACGACCGCGACCAGCACCAAATCACCTTGCTGGAGGCCACGCCCACCATTGCTGCTGGTGCCTCGGGCAAGGCCGGCGGGCTGCTGGGTCTCTGGGCCTACCCCGAAGAGCTTGTCCCGCTCTCCTATCGCCTGCACTGCGAGCTGGCCGACGAGCATGGCGGCGCCCAGCGCTGGGGCTACCGGCGGGTTGGATGCGGTCACGTTCAGGCGGAGGTGAGCCAAGACGACTTGGTCCGGCGAGCAGCTGAAACCGCGGCGGCCAAAGAGACCAAGGGACAGAACAGCGATGCTGATACGAAAGAAGCGGCCCCCGAAAGGAACATAACGGACGCACCAAAGACGAATACCGAAGCACAGTCCGAGGCACAGCCAGAGGCACAGCCTGAAGCGCAAAAGGACTGGGAGAAGCTGCCGAAGCAGGACGAGCACGCGGCCCGTCTCCTGTCCCCTACGGTGCTACCACCCGACCTCGACTGGATCGATCCGGCCGTTGTCCAGACCTATGATCAGATGGGCGTGCCTGGTGCCTACGACACCGCCCAGGTCCATCCCTTCCACTTTACCACTTCCATGGCCGCGCTGGCCGCCGAGCGCGGCGTTGACATCCGCCTCAATGCACACGTGACCAAGATTGCGTCCACAGGCGACGATGGAGCGACCGCAAAGCACACTGTCGAGTACCGTGATCGCACCGCCTCCCACACAACGCAGACCCTCGACGACATCACAGATGTTGTCGTCGCCGCAGGGCCGTGGACCGGCGTTGTCCTGCCACGAGCGAAAATCGAGGGCCTGCGCGCCCACAGCGTCGTTTGGGAGGCTGACGTCTCTGCCTACGCCGTCTTCACCGACGTCGGCCTGCCCTCGACCTACATACCCGAGTACCGCCTGCAGGCCGGCCAGAAGCGCCGCCGCCACCGGGGCCGTGTCGACCCGGAAATCTATGCGCGCCCCTTTGGCGAAGTCTATGCCTGCGGCGAGCCCGACTCGAGCGTGCCGCTACCCGCCACCGCCGACCTGGTCCAGGTCGACGACCGGCAGTGCGCCGATCTCGTCGCCTACGTCAGCACGATTAGCCCCGCGCTGGCTGTGGCGCCCGTCAAGGCCACCCAAGCGTGCTACCTCCCGCGCCACATCCGCTTCGGCGACGAGCGGGCGCCGCTGATCGGCCCCACGCATACGCCCGGCCTCTGGGTGGCCGCGGGCCACACGTGCTGGGGAATCCAGAACGGTCCGGCGACGGGGTGCCTGATGGCCGAGATGTTGCTGGACGGCAAGGCCACGAGTGCCGACGTGTCCAAATTCGATCCGCGAAAATTCAAAGTCTAGGAGGACTGGATAGAAAACACTCGAACGGACGGCATACGAATAGGACGAGATAGCATACAATGTACTCCTTACAGCCAAAATTTAGTGCATATTGAGCGACGACAGCATATTCTGTAGTCTGAACCTAATTTACAACAGTAATACGACATACATCATACTGCACTCTCCACGTTGTTTCGTACTAATACAGCGGAAGTGGGCCCAATTCTTTATCGATAACCCCACGTGTCGATAAGCACTGCGATAACAAAAAAAATTGCGAGAGCGAGCGAGCGAGCCAGCCTTTCTGTTCGGGATCCGCCAATTTTGCTCTTTCAATACGTTTTTCTGCCCACCGAGACATTTATCGTATCAACAACTCGGCACGCACACGCTTTGCTTCGTTTGGCGACTGTCCTCCTTCCCTATCGATCAACGTCCACCTCGCCGCACACAGAATGGGTCGTTCGGTCCGCCAAAAACGCAAGGCGCGGTCCTCGCGGCCCGTCGTCAAGCAGTCCAACAACCGCCGGCGCCCGGTGAACCCCACGGGCAACGCCATCATTGCTGAGAACTGGGACAAGGAACAGACTCTGTCGCAAAACTACCGCCGGCTTGGCCTCATGAATCGCCTCAAGGTCCCAACTGGTGGTATCGAGCGTCTGGGCACCGACGCCGTCAAGGAGCGCGCCGCTGCCAACTCCAAAACCGACGCCCGCATCGAGCACTACATCGACCCCTTTAACAAGACGGCCAATGAGATTCTGGGCGACAAGCGCAAAGCGCCTGCCAATGCCTCATCCTCCGCTGTTTCTTCGTCTTCGAACACCATCCGCGAAGTCCGTGTCGAGCGCGACGCCCGTGGCCGCATCGTGCGTGTCCTCGGCGACGCCGCACCCGCCCACAACCCCCTGAACGACCTGCTGAACGACCTCGAGGACGACGAGGAAGCCGACGCGGCCGAGGCTGCCGAGGCCGCCGCCACGACATACGAGGAGTGGGGCGGCATCGAAGATGCGCCGAAGAAGGGAAAGAAGGGCAAGACGGGCGATACGACAGGGAAGCCTGCGACGCCCGTCGTGGCCGCCCTCGAGCACCTTGCCAACCGGCCCGTCGGCCCCAAGCACGTCCGCCACCAGAGCCAGGCCGAGCGCGCCTGGCTCCAGACCCTCGTTGACCACTACGGCGAGACTGATCCCAGCGACTCGACCCTGGCCGCCATGGCCTTTGACCGCCGGCGCAATCCTTTCCAGCGGACCGCCAACGACATTCGGCGGCGGCTGGCTACCTTCCGGGCCGAGGGCGGTGCTGTGGGTGTGAAGGTATAGGCGATCAAAAAGCGTTCCGTTTGTCTCCCGATTTCATTATTCTGTCTTCATTGTTGTCACCTGCATAGTTCACGCGGCGCAAGGCGTTATTGTGTCCCTTGTTCGTTGGCTAGATTTGTTCTTCTCGGGCAAGGGCCGTGCATATTTTACAATTCTTTGGAAAAAATTTACAAGTCATATTGTCTATGCACTCTTTGCGTTGAAACCATTGTCAACTCTGTGTTGTAAACGTGTGGTTACGGTTTTTTTTTTTTTTTTTTTTTTTTTTTTTTTTTTTTAATTAAATTTATAAATATTTTATTTTGTGAATGCGACGAGAGTGCTCCTTCCTCTTATGAAACAACGCGCAAGGCTCGACGCTCTGAGTAGTGGCAGGTGCAGCCGCCGTTAGCGGCGTCGCAAGGCGCTAAATGCCAGCGAACACAAACGGCAGGCACACTGCAGAGCCTGTGGAGACGCGTCGCTGTTGCCAATTGATACTCTTGCCTGCCGTCATTGCCCAAAATCAGTAAGCTTGCCGCCAAAAGTCAACAAACCGTCTATCGCCACGTTAATTTTGACCTCACGACCAACTCCCCTCACGACGTCGCTCTCGCCGCATCGCGACGCCTTCTACATACATTTGATATCCTGACACCTTTCGACACCTCCCCTCCGTGACGACGACCACCGCTCATGGAGCCTTTCCTGCGCGACTGGCGCCAGGACGCGCTCAACAAAGCCCAGTACGACTCGGCCATCTTCATCGGCGACAAGCTCCTTGCCCTGACGGGGGCCGACGAAGATGCCTTTTGGCTCGCCCAGGTTCACTTTGCCATGGGCAACTATACCCGTGCCCAGGCCCTGTTGTCCAAGTCCGACCTGATTGCCCGCAACGCGTCGTGCCGCTACCTCGCCGCCCACTGCCTAATCAAGCAGAGTCGCTTCGACGACGCGCTCGCTGTCCTTGGCGAGCGAAACCCGACACACCTGATCCCGACGTCGGCGAACAAGCGGAAAGCGCCGAGCGGAGCGGGTGCTGCGGGCAGCGGCAGCGGTGGTGGCGAGAAGGTGCACACTGCTGCCAGCAGTAGCAACATCAATCCTAGCAGCGAACGAGGAGCAGGGAGCGGCCCAGCCAACCCGCCAGGGAACCACGGTGGCAAGAAGTCAACAGCATTTGGAGCAGGAAGCAAGTCGTCGACAACAGCAAAAGGCCATGCTAACAGCCGGTCCATTGGTGGTGCCCCAGACCGAGGAGACCGGGCTGGGGCTGGGTCGTCGTTGGAGAGCCGGCGGAGGGAACGCGAGGCCAGCATCGAGGCAGAAGCGGCTGCTGCTGCGGCAGCGGCGGCGGCAGAAGCAGCAGCAGCAGCCTCCGCCGCAGCCGCCGCAGCCGTGGCTGCCGCTGAGGCATCTAACCGGCGCTACGAGGCAGGCATGTGCTACCTGCGCGGCATCTGCTACGCCAAGCAAAACGTCTTTGACCGAGCCAAGGAGTGCTACAAGGACGCCGTGCGCATCGATGTGCAGTGCTTTGAGGCCTTCCAACAGCTCACCAAGAACCAGCTGATGGCACCGGACGAGGAGTGGGAGTTCCTCGAGTCGCTCAACTTTGACAGCATTGCCATGAGCCCTCTCGCCGCCAGCGAAAACGGCAGCACATCCGCCGAAGACACCGTCCAAGAGGCGGCCGACTTCACCCGGATGCTGTACAGCACGCGCCTGTCCAAGTACCGGAACCCGGAAACGTTCGCAGCTGCGGCCGAGTCCCTCGCCTCACACTACCGCCTGGGCAACAACGCGGACCTGCTGCTGGCACGTGCCGACCTGGCCTACACACAGTGCCGCTACGAAGACGCGCTGGCCCTCACGAGTGCCGTGCTCGAGGAGGATCGTTACAACTTTGGCGCCTACCCGCTGCACCTGGCATGTCTCTTTGAGCTGCGCATGAAAAACGTGCTGTTCCTCGTGGCCCACGACCTGGCCGACCAGCACCCCGAAGAGCCTTGTACATGGTTGGCTGTGGGCGTCTACTACTTTGCCACGGACCGCATCGCCGAGGCGCGCCGCTACTTTAGCAAGGCCAGCATGATGGATGCCCACTACGGCCCGGCGTGGATCGGTTTTGCGCACACCTTTGCCGCCGAGGGCGAGCACGACCAGGCTATCTCTGCCTACTCGACAGCCGCTCGTCTCTTCACGGGCACGCACCTGCCGCAAGTCTTCTTGGGCATGCAGCACCACGCCATGAACAACATGACCGTGGCCGAGGAGTTTTTGAAGACGGCCTATAGTCTGTGCCGTGAGGACCCGTTGCTGCTCAATGAGATGGGTGTCGTGTGCTACCACCAGGACCGGGCCAAGGACGCCGCCACGCTGTTCCGCAAGGCTCTCGAGGTGGCCGACGACATGGACTGTGACCCGCAGGCATGGCTTAGTGCGCGCATCAACCTCGGTCATGCCTACCGGCGTATGCGGCTGTTCCGCGAGGCTCTGGCCCAGTTTGACGAGGTTCTGCGGCTGGGCGGCAAGAATTCGGCCGTCTTTTCGGCCAAGGGCCTTATCCTGCTCGAGCGGGGCCGCCCAGACGAGGCGGCTGTCGTGCTGCACGAGGCGCTGGCCATTCGGCCGCAGGATCCCATTGCCACCGATCTGCTTAACAAGGCGCTCTTTGAGATGTCAGTCAGTAACAATGTGCTGCAGCTTGCGGGCGGTAACAGCGGCTCAGCTGGCGGTCTCGGCACGGGTGCTGGTGCTGGTGGTTCCGGCGGCATGCCTGGCAGCACAGACGACCAGGAAAACAGCCTCGGCCATGATATAGACATGGGCCAAGGCCTGGGTGGCGGTTTCGAGGCAGCCGTGGACGACGATATGGACGCGGCCACGGCGGCCAGCTTCGAAAACGACCTGCTCCAAAAGCGCCTGGCAGCACGGCAGCAACTGGTCGATGCCGTCGGCGGTGGGCCCGCGGCGGCAGCGCGCGCCACCCGGCTGAAGCAAAAGCGAAAGAGCAAGGGAAAAGGGAACAGCCTCGGCGCAACAGGTGATGGTGACGAATCCGCTTCCACAGGCTTGATGGAGGGCATCATGGAGGGCGGCGATCCAGGGGGTGTTGACGGTGCAGCAGGCTCCTCCGAAGGTAACGACGGGGCGGTTCGGCACCGGCAACAGAGAGCGGCGCGCAGCCACTATATGTCGGCACAGCAGCAGCGACAGATGCGCTCGGCCGCTGCTGAGGCCCGGCGAGCAGTACATGAAGCGGCAGCTGCCAGGGGTGGAGGTGGATCTGGCGCACATCCAGGCGACGGTGATGGTGGTGGTGGTGAATAATGGGGCCGCACATATACAGGGGTGGGTACTGCGTTTAATGCCATAACGACTTTTGTTTGAGCGGGAGCTACTGTTGCATCACTTGGTAGCATTACGACAGGACATGCATGGACAGGAAGAGCATTTACGACGAACAAGAAACGGACGACATGTGGACACCCGGCGTCTAAAGGAAACATGGGATAATCAACATTGCATTGCGGTCACGACGGAAACAGGGACATCACATAATATCTAGTTTATTTTATGAACCCAAAATGAAGCTATATTGGCTGCATATGGTGCGGAAATTGATTGCTCTCGTCGATTCGCAAGCCCGTTACAGCTTCGCCTTGGACTGTTTGCCCACGACTTGCTCGATTTCGGCAAAAGGGTAGAAGTAGTCGAGACTTTCCGGGTTTGCCAGCGTACCGCTCGGCGTGATGCGCTCGCCCGACACAATGCGCTTGACTGGCAGCTCGACCTTTTTCATGTTGATCGTCGTCGGGATGGCCGGCGTTGTGAAGATGTACTTGGGCACATGACGCTTCGACAGGTCGCGTGCAATGGCGCCGCGGACGTCGGTCTCCAGTTTCGCGTCCAGAATTTGTCCGGGGCGCATCAGCAGGAACAAAAGGACCGACTCATCGCCATCGCGGCCGGGCCGTCGCTGGCCCACACACAGCGAGTCAGCCACACGGTCGGAAAAGTTGCGCTCGAGCACGGCATAGACCTCGGCCGACCCGAATCGCACGCCGGACGGGTTGAGCACGCCGTCGGCGCGGCCCAAAAAGTCCAGAGCACCAGTGACTGGGTGGATCGAACAGAAGTCCCCATGGGCCCAGACGTGCCGGAACCGGCCAAAATAGGCATCGTGGTAGCGCGAGCCCTCGGGTGCAGCAGCACGGTCGGTGCGCAGGACCATGGTGCCCTTGGCATCCATCTCGACGCGGCCGCTGCCCTTGTCGTTCCAAAAGAAGCAGGGGATGTTGGGGAAGGCTTTCACCGCCACGAGTTCGCCGGGCTCGCCGCTGGGCACTTGGACACCCTTGAAATACGCGGAGTCCTTGCTCTCGACGTCCGATGTCGTGTCAAACAGGCGCACATCAACACCCAGACTCTGGCCCTGGGCACCTCCCACATACACTGGCGTCAGCGGGTTGCAGATGCCGAAGCAGCCGGCAATGTCAGTACCTCCCGAAATGTTGGCTAGATGCACCTTGGGCCCAAAGCCGGTGTCGTAGAACCAGTTCTGCAGCTCCTGGGAGAGCACCATGCCGGTGCATGTGACGACGCGGAGGGCAGACAGGTCGGCGATGTCACGGGGCGCAATGTTGTGGCGGACCATCTCGAGCATCCAGCGGGGACTAAGGCCGAGCTTTGTGACACGCTCTCGAGCCGCGAGGCGGACGAGGACGGCTGGGTCCGGCTGGAAGGGTGAGCCGTCGTACAGCACAGTGCGGCAGCCAAAAACGAGCACACCGACCGTTGCGACGTACATGATCCAGCCGACAGTGGTAAACTGCATCGTGACAGAGTCTGGGCTCATCCCCTCATGTAAGATGGCCTCTTTGTAGTAGTTGATCAGCAGGCCGCCCACAGAGTGGACAATGGCTTTGGGGGTGCCGGTGGTGCCCGACGAGAAGCAGATCAGGAATGGGTCGGCAAAGTCGACACGGGCAAACGGCGGCGGCGGGAGGTCCACGGCCGTGCCCACAAAATCAGTCCAGCGGGTAGCATCTAGGTCTGTCACGTCCCGCGGATCTGTGAAGCGCGGGATGGCAATGGCACCCGCAAAGGCGCTGCATTCGGCACGCAGGCCGCTCACTACCTGCTTCATCTTGGGGCGCAGGTCCGTCGTCTTGCCGTTGTAGACGGCCACGTCGTCCATAAACAGCAGCTTGGGGTTGACCTGCACAGTGCGCTGCAGAATGCCCCTGGCACCCATGTCCGTCGAGCTGCTGCTGAAAAGGCCGCCGAGCCAGCAGGTAGCCAGCCACACGAGCAACGTCTCGACACTGTTGGCACCAACCACAACGACACGGTCGCCGCGCTTCACACCGGCATGCGTAGCCATGGCAGCAGCCAGCTGAGCGGCCCGACGGCGCAGCTCGCTCCACGTCACATGGCACGTATGCTCCCGGGCGTCACCCTCGCGAACCTCGGTGACGGCGATGCGGTCGTCCTCCTTGCCAACGGTCGTGGTGGCGCTGGGACTGGCGCCTGGGGCCCGTGAGCGCGTGTAGAGCATGTTCTCGGCAAAGTTGAGGCGCACGCCGTCGAACCAGCGCGGCACGGCGTCGATGGGCAGGGCCTCGTCAACGACGCGACGGTAGGTGCCCTCATGGATCAGGTTGGCGTCGTCAAAGAGCATGGACCAGAAGTCGGAGCGGCGCTCAACTGAGAACCTGTGGAGCTCGGAAAACGTCTGGCACGCATATTAGTTACTCGATACGACGCTTCCAGCCGATGGTGGGAGAAATTGGTAGATTTGCGGCACGAACCTTGAGATGTAACGCATGCTTGCTGTTGATCTTCTGCAGAAACTTGTACATCTCCGTACTCGTAGGATCAGGGTGCTCCCAGAGCTTTCGCGGCAACGCCTGGGTCTGTGAAACAGCCATGGCTGCTCGACCTGCGGTCACCGTTTTAGAGTAAGATCGGATTCGAGAAAAAAGAAGGGATTCGAGAAGCTGAGGAGAATGCTAGGAGACAATGAGAGGACCCCAGGAGTTTCTTTAGAGACAAAAACTGGACGACCAAAGCGAGATAAGGACGACAGCGATGTTGGTTTCACCACAGCTGAAGGACGTCCCAGGGAGGACTCCTGCCTGAGGTTGCGGGGCACGCTGTTGACGACGGACGGCAGATTGGTCTTGATCTGTCGTTGTCGGCAGTTGAGTAAACAGAGTGGGAGGGAATCCGTATCGTCGCAGTCAGTTGGAGAGACTGTGTTTTTGTTTGGAAAGGAGGCTTTTACACATTTTGAATTTTTGCATTCCTCCAGGAAGGTCACCTCCTTTTGAAAAGCGATTGCTCTTTCCCATTTTCCTTCTCGGATCCATGTCGCCCTTGCCCTCTTTTTACGACCCTTCCGTTTACGGCATGCCGAATTGTCGCAGAGGGGAAGGCGCCTTGATCGCACTTCCCCCGGGTTTTCTCCAACAGTGCATCGGTTTTTCCACTCTTTCCCCACGACAAGTGTGGACTTGGACGTGGGCCTGACCTGAACCTCGGCCTGGAGAATACAAACGTAACAGCTCTAGGCCGGGTTTCAGTCTGGCATGTACGACATACTTCGTACGTCTGAATTATGTTTCTGCCGGCATCTCTCGGTATCGTTTGTTCGCACAATTGCATGGGAATCGGTGTCCGAGACAAAAATCAAAATCTCATTCGTTCCTTCCCTCGTCATGCGTTCATTTTCTAGACTACCAATTGAAGAAGGAGGGAGTGCAGGAATTGGAAGGAGCAATAACCCTTCTTCCAGAACTTTTTCGTAGCATTATTGGCCTGTATTCCCCAATGCAAAATTTGCATCTTCTGATCCTCGAGACTCTTTACGAATAGCCACATAAACAGAAGAACTTTGTATTCCGGCACTATCTTATCAATGCATCCCCTTTGACGACCGACCTTTCACATGTTCGCCATCATGGCCCATCGTCAGATCACCCTTGAGCATATTGCCAGCCCTTCCTCCAATGTGTCGAACCTGTTGTGATGCTCCCTTCGACCGTTCTCTTGACCAATTCTTCGTCCATTCCGGATCGATTCCGTCCTCCTTGACCTAACCAGACCGTTTCCTGGAGCCTCGCTACATCTCCCACCTACAGAGTGTACCGGAAGTACACATTCTGGTCGCCCAGATCCAGCAGTTGCTGCTCGGTGTACTGTGCGTTAATTTGCTCCTCCGTTTGACCCTCAACGATGGCATCACGGCGGGCGTTCTCGCGGGCATAGGCGACCCGCAACACATACGCAGCGATGATACCGGCCAAGCAGATGCCCAGGCAGGTGCCGTAGCCGGCCTGGTAGCGAGGCGCCTGCTTGGACAAGAAGATGTTGCTGCCGCAGATGCCGCCGAGATTGCCGACGGAAATCAAGACGGCCAGGCCGACGGCACGCTTGCTGCTGGGCGCCAAGTTGTTGCCGATGAGGCAGACGACACACATGAAGGGCGAGAACAGGCCGCCGGCGATGAGGTACAAGAAAAAGTACGAGACGCCGGTCATGCGTGGGTGGGGAATGGCAAGCTCGGCGATGAGGCCGACACTCGCGAGAGCGAAGCCGGCCATGATAAAGGGCGTGCGCTGCTGCACGCGGTCGCTGGCCCAGGCGAAGAGGATGACCAACACCAGAGCAAAGACATAGATGGGCACGGTCATGAGCTGGGCGTTGGCGCTCTCGTAGCCCAACTGGAGGATAATGGTGGGAGCTGTGGAGGAGAAGCCGTACGTGCCAATGGTGCAGGCCCAGAAGCAGATGACGCCGCACCAGATGCGCCAATCAGAAAAGCCTTCGACGACGTGGTGCCAGCGGATGGGGTCGGAGTTGGTGACACGGCCGCGGCCGGTGCCGGTCTCGAGCGCCAGGCGGTTGATGATGAACTCCTTCTCCTCGTTGGTCAGGAATTTGGCCGTTTCGGGGCTGTCGGGCAGGATCTTCCAAACGACAAATGACATGATCACGGGGACGATGCCCTCCAAGATGAAAATCCAGTTCCAGCCGTCCAGCCCGGCAATGCCCTTCATGTGCTGGATGGCAAAGGCCAGCAGACCGCTAAAGGCGCCGGCAAGCGAAGCGGCGGCATAGAAGACGGCCATGCGGGTCTGGACCTCGTACCGCTTGTACCAGATGGTCAGCAAGAAGGTCGACGCAGGGAAGAAGCCGGCCTCGGCAAAGCCCAAAAAGAAGCGGGCCGCATAGAGGCCCTGAGCGCTCTTGACGATGCCCATGAGCGTCATGACGAGGCCCCAGCAGAACAGCAACACCGAGATCCAAATCGACGGCCGGATGAGTTTGAGGACAATGTTGCTCGGCACCTCAAACAGCCCGTACGGCACAAAGAAGAGCGTCAACGCCGTGTTGTACATGAGGCCCTGCAGCTTGAGGTCGTCCGCCATGCCGGCGATCTTGGCGTTGCCAATGTTGCTGCGGTCGACATAGCCGATGAGGTAGAGGAAGGACAGCAGCGGCACGAGGTGCCAGTCGATCTTGCGGAGGATGCGTGCCTCGCGCTCCTTGTCGAGGGCGAGCACGACCTGGTCGGCACCAAGGCCGGCGTCCACAGTGCGGAGTCCACCGGCAGCCCTGACGGCTTCGGCTGCCGACTTTTCGTCGATGGGGTCATGGCCGTGGTCATGATCGTTGTCCGCATCGACGTTCTCAACATCCCGAGCGGTGTTGTTGTCAGCCATTGTGTCGGTCGCTGGTGGTAAGTTCTGTCTGGTGAGTTGGAGGAATGAGGGTGAGGATTCTTGAAAGATGAGCGTCTTGGACAGAACAAAAAAGAGTTGCGAGATGACAACAGGTGGAACCCAGACCAAAAACAAAATCTCGGAAAGACAGCCGAAAAGCTTGGCTATATGCTTTGACGGGCAGGAATGAAGTGAGGGGGGACTCTGGGAGGCGCGGCGTGGGTCGCAGGAAGCGATATGCCGCGAAAGGACCGCACACGACAATATGCGTTGTGTGTTAATTTGAGAGTCACAGGCCAGTCACGACTCTACATGATGGAGGCACGAAGGGGGCACAACGGCACCCGCCCCCCAGTTTACGCCCCGGCGACCCAACTCCACGACCAGCAACCGTCTTGTCAGTCCCGGAATAGGAAGGACAACAAGCGACAAAGTTGGTAGACAAGGACACACACGGTCCTTGCGGCATGCGGAGACGATCATAGGACCCGGAGAAAAGAAAGTGGAGGGACAAGAGAATAGCAGTGTGCCAAGTGAGGAGGTGGAAGCGGGTGAAGCTCAGGCAGGCGGACGATCATGGACACCATCCTCGCACCGCAGTTGGAGGCAGTTTCCTGGAACGGCCGTCAATACTACGACAGCAAAACCAACAGGGCCGAAGAAGACGGGCAGGTTGCACCGTGCTCTCTGTCGATACCTGCCAAATATGGGCTTGCGAATGGGTCATTGTTGCATTGAACCAGAAATGGAGGACGCGAGAAACAGAAGGGGCTCGACCTTCCTCTTTTTGCTCTTTTTTTTCCTTTCTTTTCTGTTTTTCTTTTCTGTTTTTCTTCCATTCTTTTTTTCTTTTTTACCTTTCTCGGTTCTTTTCTTTCTGTCCGTCTTTACTTCTGTTTTCCTTATTTTGTTTATTTCGCCTGCGCTACTTTGGTTTTCTAATTCATAATTCCACACGTTTTGTTTTCTTTCCTTATGCGGCTGTTGCTTCATAACTCGTTCTTAGCTGCTACTCCGTTCTCCGTCTCAGGCTCCGTCTTGCTACCATGGCATCTCCACTTACCCCCTCGCCATCCCCGGTATTTCTCGTCGGCATATTATTCCCTGCTAGTCACCCCGAACCCACGAGGGGCGGTCGGCTCGCCAAATGAGGGGAAGAGGAACAACAAGACTTTGCAGTGTTGGGATGTTGAGGCTAGTCGACCGTTGCTGTCACCATTTACACAGTCCCCTGCCCCATATCCTGTTATGGTAGCAGCGCATGTTTTGGCGGAAGGCTGGATCCTCGAGCAGGTGTAAGTTACTGTTGTGGCTTTGCCCGATTTTGGCTAGCCAGGCGGGACAACGGAGCTGCAGGTAAGAAGTGCGGAGAAAGGCACGGTGGCAGGGTGGCAGGGTGGTCAGAGAAGAGGAGGGGGAATGGGGGAATGGGGGCCCCGAGAAAACTGGCTCGCTACAACATACTCCTCACTTGGCGATCCCTTTATCTGACAAAAGCAGCCGGCAGATGGTGATTGGAACAGCGATCAACCTCCTTCCTGGCCCAGACGCAGTGTGACATGCATGTGAGCGGCACAGACGCGGGACTTATTTTGACGGATGTGGCGGAAATCGGCTGGAGTTGTCATGGGGGAGAAAAGAAAAAAAAAAAAAAAAAAAAAAAAAAAAAAAAAAAAGAAAACCCGGCTGCATGCCAAACGCTTTCCTTTCAAACCCGAACGACAAATTATCAAAACTCACACGTGAGGCTGAAGGCACATTTGCACATAATTATTGAGACGCTCTCAGTGGTGATGCGTTATCAACAGATTGCTTGTTGCACACGTCGTCGTTTCACGGACACCAGAAGTGCACCATTATTTACCGTTGGAAGTGTATATATCGTATTGTACATATTTACAGTCTTGCTTCCGGCGACTGCCCCAAGTCCTTGATTAGAGGTCTTCTTTCCATCTGGCTTTGTCCATCTAAAATTAGAAACACGAAGCAGAAAGCCCAAAATAGGAAGAAGAGCGGGAAATTAAACAGGAACAAAAAAAGAATAGAGTAGGGTGCTTCTCGTCCATGGATTCGTTTCCCATTGCCCGACCGACCCAGACACACAAGCGCTGCAATGCTCTCGTTCCTCTCGTTGCCGTCATGCCGATGGAAGTGATTTTCTTATTTTTTGTGATGTGGCTTTTAAGACGAAAAATAAGAAAAATAAGAAAACATAAAAAACAATGGCAAAACAAAGAAAACGCCTCCACCTCCGAATGAAAAGTCCAACACAAAAAACCATCAAGAGATCATGGCCCAGTATGCATGCCGTATGTTTTAGTTTAGACAAAGGGAGAGAGGAATGGGGATTTTTTAACACAGAAATGACCAAAAAGGAGGACAGAAACAAACACAATGAAACAGGGATCCAAAGACAGCCGACGACCGACTACCCCTTGAACGCGGGGGCCGGGGCCGGGGCCGGGCCCAGATCTGTGTCGGTGTTGGAGGGCGGGAATGGTGGCGGCGCGTCGTTGTTAAAGTACTTTGAGAACTCGTCCTTGTCGGGGAACGGCCGCGGGCCCAGCAGGCGCACGAGGTCGTCGCGCGTCAGCATCTCCTTGCGCAGCAGCTCCTCGGCGACGAGGCCAATTTCGGCCTTGCGGGCCGTCAGCAGGTCCTTGCACTGCTTGTAGGCGGCGTCGACGATGCGGCGCACCTCGGCGTCGATCGTCTGCGCCGTCGACTCGGCAAACGGCTTCTGGAACTGGTTCTGGTCGTCCTGGCGGAAGTGCAGCGGGCCGACCTTGTCGGACATGCCCCACTCGGTCACCATGGTCGTGGCCATGCGCGTGACCTTTTTGAAGTCGTCGCTGGCGCCCGTCGTCACCGTGTCAAAGTGCAGCTCCTCCGAGATGCGGCCGCCGAGCGTCATGGCCATGCGGTCCATGAGCTGCTTGACGTTCATCAGGTAGGCGTCGCCGACGGGCAGGTACTGCGCGTAGCCCAGCGCGCCCTGGCCGCGGGGGATGATGGAGACCTTGAGCAGCGGGTCGGCATACTCAAAGTACCAGCCGCAGATGGCGTGGCCGGCCTCGTGGTACGCGACGGTGCGCTTCTCTTGGGGGTTGAGCACCAGCGACTTGCGTTCGAGACCACCGACGACGCGCTCAATGGCCTGCTCAAAGTGCTTCATCTCGACCGTCTCGGCATTGGCACGGGCGGCTAAAGCGTGGAATGGTCAGTAAGGGAAAACAAGATCAACAAAGTACACAAACAGACTCACCAACGAGAGCAGCTTCGTTCACGGCGTTGGCAATGTCGGCACCGGCAAAGCCCGGCGTCAGCGCGGCCAGACGGCCGACCAGGTAGTCAATGTCCTCCTTGGTAACAATCTTGGCCAGGTAGACACGGAAGATGTCCTGGCGGCCCGACATCGTGGGGCGGTCAATGTTGATGTGACGGTCGAAGCGGCCGGGGCGCATGAGCGCCTTGTCCAGGATGTCGGGGCGGTTCGTGCCGGCCAGCACGACCACCTGCTCCGACGTGTTGAAACCGTCCATCTCCGTCAGGATCTGGTTGAGCGTGGCCTCGCGCTCGTCGTTGCCGCCCGAGCTGAACTTGCCGTCGCCGCGCGAGCGTCCAATGGCGTCGATCTCGTCGATGAAGACAATGCAGGGCGCGCTCTTGCGTGCCGTGGCAAACAGGTCGCGCACACGCGACGCACCGACGCCGACAAACATCTCCACAAACTCGGAACCGCTCACACTGAAGAAGGGCACGCCCGACTCGCCGGCCGTGGCCTTGGCCAGCAGCGTCTTGCCAGTACCGGGCGGACCGGCCAGGATGGCACCGCGCGGAATCTTGGCGCCCAGGCGCTGGAAGCGCTCGGGCTGCTTGAGGAAGCTGACAAACTCCATGATCTCGACCTTGGCCTCGTCCATGCCGGCCACGTCCGAGAACTTGACCTTGACGGCCGACTCGTGGTTGAAGCGCTTGGCCTTGCTCTTGCCGTAGCCAAAGATGCCGCTGGAGCCGCCCATGCCGCCGGCGCCGCGCCGCGTCAACCAGTACATGAGGCCGATCAGCAGGATCGACGGACCGAAGCCCATCAGCAGACTGCCGAGCATGCCCTCTGAGGCGTAGCTCACGGGGAGGCGCTCGGACGGTGGGATCTGCAGCTCGTCCTGGGCCTCTTCGAGGCGGCGCTCGAAGCTGTCGACCGAGCCGATGGAGAAGTAGTACTGCTGCCACGGGTTGGCGGCGGCCGAGTCGGGGTAGGCGGACTGCGTGGCCTCGCGGTTCAGCTCGACAAGGACGCGCTTGCCCGTGACCGTCAGCCGCTCGACAAGGCCGCGGTCAAGAAAGTTGCGCCGCAGCTCCTGCCACGTGATTTCGGTCGTCTGGCCGCCGGGGAACAGGATGGAGTAGATTGGGTAGAAGATGGCCGCTCCGAGCGCCCAGCCGACCCAGTCGTTGCCCTCGAATATACTTTTGGGGCCGCCCTTTTTGCCGTCGCCGCCCTTGTTGCCGCCCTGTTGCTGGCCGTGTTGGCCTTGTTGGTTGTTGTTGTTGCTGTTGTTGTTGCCACCGTCGTTGTTCAGGTTCGGCTGACCAGACGCACCCGGCTGGTGCGAGCCGGGCTGCTGCGGGTCGTTGGAGTTGAACATGCCGTGCTGATTGTGCTGGTCGTTTTGGCTGTCCTTGTTGGCCGGGTCGCTGGGTGGGCGGTTGGCGGAGTGCATGCCGGCCTCGTCGTCCGAGAACTGCTTGGCCATGTTGAACGCCACCTTGACGACCTTCATGCCGTCGGCCAGGCTGAGGCCGCCGGCTTTTTGCTTGGCAATCAGCTCACGCAGCTCGACGGGCGCACCGTAGCGACGCACACCCTCAATGACCTCGAGCATGCTGTCGCGGCGCGACGGCGGCGAAAAAGACAGGATGCGCGACAGGATGGCCAGTTCCTCGTCGTTCAGGCGGACCCAGTTCGGCGGCAGGGGCCGCTCCTCCACAGGCGGTTG